GTAAGTAGCCCCGTCCAGAGATGGTGGGAAGGCTGCTATTCCGTACAGTAGCTCCTCCCACTAATTAGCAGCCCCGCCCAAAGATATCGCTAAGATTGTCATTCCGCGCAGTGGCCCCTCCCACTAGTTGGTAGCCCCGCCCACGGAAGGACGGCTTTCACGCTACGCTCATATCTGTGTCGGACCGCTACCATGTCTGAGTGTAATATTTTTCAAGTGTCATTTTTACCTCGCTCGATTTTCTGTTCTCTTTTTTTGTCTCTGGTCTCTCGCCCAAGCTCGTGCTATTTCTCCACCTCGCACTTTTTGTCCACTTGCGAAAATCAACTGCTGAGAGGGGTCCCTTATTGAGGGAATCCGTAGAAGTTCCTCGTTTGCTATTTGCCTTCCTTGCACCCACGCCGGGCAATCGCGGAATGTGTCCTTAAAACCGATACCTCATAGAAGTGTTCTTTCTTCATTTAGGTATACGGCGTTTGTAGCGATGACTCATCGTATCCCCCCGTTCCTGAGCTGAGCTGTAAAAATTCTTCAGCAATTGCTGATTTTTCATCTGGCACTGGAGTTGAAATGGTGCATTCTAAGGTACGGTTCCTTTAGCCAACAGCAAAGGTTCAGATTGAAAGATTTTGCGCTATTCAAAAAGTTTGCAGGATGCCTTCCTCATGGCACGTCAACTAATCAAGGAAGAGGGATTGATGATAGGACCGTCATCAGGCGCAGCGGTATTTGCCGCACTAAAGGTTGGATTTCAACATACAGACATACACCTCTACATATCATCATTCTCATGGGTTTCTGCGTATGTGCTGCATTTCAGCTGGCTGAATCCTTGCCGGAAGGCAGCAATGTTGTGGTGGTGGCAGCTGATGGAATTAGGAATTATATGTGAGTATATTTGACTAGTTTGCTTAGAGGAAAGTTAGCCGGGGCCTAGTTGGTGTCGGTCGACGGGGGGGGCATTTTTTGCACTACTGCTACTTACCACAGACGTATCGAACCATCACTAGAGCTGTTTGCATGGAACTTAATCACAGAGTTGACAGGCTTTTTACGCGTGGTGCCGACGAGCTGCGCTCCAGCTTCCAGCTTGCCACAAGATTCACAACCCCTTGCAACTGGGTTTTTTACTCGGGTCATTCTTTGTAAAACGGCGGAACTCCAGTGAAGCAGGCGAAAGTGCAAAATGGCCGTCCCCCCTGCTCCCTCCCCTTCCGCCCCCCCGCCTGAACTGGGACCCGTTTAGCAGTCCACTCGTCGGCTCTATGAATCTTATATATTGTGGTGATGATGTAGTGGGTTAATTACTGAAATATGACCAGGCGTTTTATGTTGTTTTGTTTTTTATCCTTTGAAGAACAAGCTCAAGCTGCAAGGATAGGGCATGGGTCACATGCCGTTTCTGTGAAGGGGGGGGGGGGGGCGGAAGGCGTGATAAGCTGCCCGCGACATCCACGCCAGGGGCCTGTTGTGTTTTGACACTGAAAGGGCTGCAGAAAGCAGTTGTCAAAGCGGTAGCTGAGAAGCACCGCGAGCTGGTTCGTCTTGCGGTTGATGGCTGTCTCGTGCGGGAGGATGGTTTGGGGCGCGACACCTAACCAGTTTTTTTTCTTTGGGCAAGCCGAAGGCTGGTTTGTCCCCAATATGGTATTAGTCGTTTTTTCCGGCCGATTCCTGCCGCTTGGCCTGTTTTAAAAGCTGGTAAGAGGGAACGGGTTTCGGCGCCCGCCAAGTGTAGTCCTCACATGACACCCATCGATCCGTAGTGAAGAAAAAACCTGGTTTTCCTGGGCGTGTCCGTCGCAAACTCGATCTCCCTGTCGCTACACCAGTTTTCCATGGACATTTCGGCGGCGGAAGCTTGGTCCCCATCTAAGTAGTCCCAGGAGAGTAGAGAGAGAGAGAGAGAGAAAGAAGAAGGGAAGAGAGAGAGAGAGAGAGAGAGAGAGAGAGAGAGAGAGAGAGAGAGAGAGAGAGAGAGAGAGAGAGAGAGAGAGAGAGAGAATTATGGGAGCGACTGATCTTCTTGGTTTTTTCAGGAACGAGTTCATCGATCAGGAGTGGCTTTTGAAAAACAAAATTATTGCTCACATTGAAGAAGAAGACTACAAAGCCAAAAGAGTAAGTTCATGTGTCAGAGCCTAAATTGGTTCAATTTGTTGACCGTACACTAATTTTACAGTACCTTTGATCCGAGCATACTCGTCTACGATCCTACTACACTTTCTGGAGTTTGGAAACAAGACGAAAAGACGAAAAAATGGACGAATTGTTCGCAGAAGTTCAAACCTTTCAGGTAAATGTTAACAAAGGGGACGATCTGGTCTGAAAGCCCTTATTTTTCTTGTGTCTTTTTCTTCTTACTCTTCCTGCGTATGATACAGTCTGGTTCGGTACGGACGCTGGGGCGTGTCGCGGGGTGCTAACTTTGGCGCGGCGCCAACTAAATGTGGAAGCCGGCAGACGGCCACAATGGGTGGAAAAGTGGCTGGTGCTGCGGCAAACCCTGCCCTTGACACGAAACGCTTTCGTATTGAACAAACTGCGCACCTTTTGACTACCTAATTTCTGCCTCGCGAACTGTCCTGGCGCCTCACCGGGAATCACGGCCGAATTCCGAAGTCCTTCGTCAGGAGCAAGGAGCGCCCGTAAGGGAGGTTGCACCAGGGCACACCATCCTTGAAGAATACACTGAGGAGTTCAACTCGAGGCATTGCTGGACAGAGTTGTATTTAGAGCGCTGGAGGTCTGTGTCAGTGCGAGATGTAGAAGATGTTTCGATGTTTCGCGAGGGAATGAATTTTACCCTCCCCTCCCTCTCCCCGCTCCTCCATTCATCAACTTGATCGATAAGTTATTTGGTGCGGGGAAGAAAAGGAGAGTGGTAGTTTTCCAGGTGGAATGAAGTCGTACTTGAGTGGTTGGAGAAGGGGGGGGAGGAGAGGGAAGGCGTATTCT